GCAGAGCAATCGACTGTGGATTTTAATTAAAGGAATTTATTTAGATGCACTTGTTTAAAGTGCAATCGACTGTTCATGACATCATCTGCATATATATGTACGACAATGAGCAATGAAAGAAGTAGCTCATCTATAATAATAATGCTAGATCGAACTGGTTTTACCAGCTAATCAACAGTAGAAACAGAAGCATATAAGCTCTACATAATATTATTTAAATCTTGTTTTTATTATATTAACCCTTAATTGGATCAAAAAAGTTTCGAATTTTTTTAATATCAGTTGGTTGATCATTGTAATCATTATTAAATGACCAATTTAATGTTATTCAGTGGAAGCTATCTCTGAGCATTTTTGTTTAGGAAATTTTAAAGCCAACCTCTTAATTGGATTAAAATAGTTACGAATTTTCTTTACTTGGCTTAATCATTATAATCATTATTCACTTCATTATTATTCAAGAAAACTTTGCCAACGAACGTCATTGAATTTTCCAATGATGAAATATCATCGGTGGCTTTTAAAGTTATTTCCCACAATTAAAATAAAATCTATCTATTTAAAGATTAAATGCCGCTCAAATGCATTTTATTAGGGGGTGTGTTTCTGTTCTTGCTAATTAGCTTTGAATGGCACCTCCTACCCTATCTCATATAGCACGTTTCTGTGGTTTGCTGACAAATTAATGTGTAAGTTAATAGATAGTTCGCACATGCTTCATGTTTGCTTTCCAATAGATAGTAAAGTATCCGTAGCATAAACCTTAGCCATTCATTAAAGTATGCATTCATTGGCAGGCACGCCCCTTTATGTTAATCGGTTCTGTTTGTACTGAATGTCTCATAGGTCAATGATGAATAATTCGTAAAAACCCAATTCCATCACATTCCTTATGCAAACGTTAAACAGAAAATACCAAAAAAATGCGTCAGTGTAAGGAATAATTTTCTTTGAAATACTTTAACAACAAGAAACGACTGGTAAACATCACAAACTTTTTTAATTAATTAATAAAAATGAAAAGCGCTAAATTAAAAGTAAACAAAGAAGGCAAACGTAAACAGCACTATACAAATACAATTTCAGAATAATATAGAAGAGATTAAACATGAAATAGGCGCAAAGCAAATTATTGGCTCACACATATATACATCTATTGTAAATATTTTATAATTCAGCATAACATAATTATTTTTAAAGTCTGGGCCAACTGAAACTGGAATGTATACCAAATAATTAAAATGCACACGATTCCTACTCTCGGATTTAAAACAATTTCGATTTACAAACACGTGCAGAACATTTCAAAAATTCCCACCCGAAAAAATGTATCTTCGACCCGACTAAATGTATATTTAAGATATATATATATATTCGACTCACAGTACTGCATGCAGTCGAACACAAAATGTGACTGAAAACTGAGCGAAGACCAAGTGGATGAAGAACTGGAGACACGTTTCGTTTGAAGTTATTGTTGTGCGAGTTACTCCAAGTATGAGCATATTTCGTTATGTTTGTGGCTACACACACGCACAGACACACACACACACGTGCGTATGTGTGCATTTATGAGTGTGCCCTCCAACAAGACAACAAAAAAACTGTTCATACAATGCTCATTTTTTGTTTTCTCCTCTTTTTGTGTTTGTGTGTTTGTGTTTTGCCAAATTAGCAACAACCGGTTTACACTGGTTGTCGTCGAGGGGCAGCAAGGGCATCGGGGAGTGGTACCAACGCAAGCTAAAGGTAAACAAAAGCCGCTTTTGCTCATTAGTCGCAGTCGCTCGAACTCGCGACCAACTCGCGAATAGAGTGCCGCAGTCAAACATTTGCCGTACCTCATATCAGCTCCATTTATGGGGGGAGTGCCAAGCTACTTGGTCGCAGGCAGGTTGGCAATTATTTGAGCGTCAACAAGGTCGTGAGAGCAACAAGACAAAGAGAGGGAGAGCGAGAGCGAGCGAAAAAGAATGAAAAGAGAGAGGGAGAGTGGGCAAAAGTGTGCAAGAGAAGCCAACAAGTGGAGAGTTATAACATGCATTGGAGCCCATGTACTCTGCACGTTCAAACATGTCTAGGTACATACATACATATGTATATATTCAAATTCAGATGATGCATATTTTCACGTGCGATCGGATTGAATTTGAGCGACGTGAAGCTGTAGGTTGACTGTTATCTGCTGTTTAATTCTGAATCTGTCTGTCTGGCCCCTGGCTCTGGGACTGGTCCAGATTCGCGAAACAAGTTCAGCAAGCGACACCAGTTTCCATGGGTTTTATCGATAATAACATTTATAGTATGTGCATTTTTGATTTGTTGAGTCGAAAAGTGCGCTTTATACTCCAGTTACGAGGCCAGCTTAAATAGACAAAAATTTGGGGGGCAACCTCAAGTTTCACAATTGTATAAATTACTTATTAAAATTATAATTATAATAATTGGATAAGTCAGCATCTGTGGGAGATGCTCAAGAGTTTTAGGTTACGTCAGCTATTTCGAAAAGTGACGATTCATATTTTTTTTATTTTTGACGTCAGTACTTAGAGTCGAGGATTTCTATATAAATATATAAATAGTATAATATATATAAATATCCCTTTAAAAAACCTGTATTAAGCAACTATGGAATGCTGATTTGATGACAAATTAAAAACTTTTTTTTGAATTTTATTTCATCCAATTTGACTAATCAAATAAACATATTAAAGTCAACTGGTTCTTTACATTTTTTAAAAACTGGTGTCCAGGGATCTAACTAAATTAATATTTGAAAAAACATAGACTATTAGCTTTTATTTCTGAAATGAAAACATGATTCCATATGGCCAACATGCTGTTCTATGTATATTATTACGCATCGCTAGCGAAAAGCTTAATAATAAAACATATAAAAAAAAAGTTGTAAATATAATGTTGAATATGCAAATCAGCAAAAATCGTGCGCTTGCAATACAATCACGTATTAATTGCAGCTTTTAGCTTTAATGTGGAAATATTGTGGCATACTTTAAAAGCGAAAAAAAATAAATATGAAGTCAAATAATCAGCACAGCATAAGGCCAACTGTCGAGTACGGCAATAACTAATGCAATTAATGTAAATGAGCTATTCGGTTGGGAACTATTTCTTCGTACACATCCCATAATATAAACTAATCAAGCTTACCTTGATTGACTATGGGTATATCTGCGGAAAATAGGGAACGTTCTTCGCACTTTAACACCTTAGTCTTGGGTTCTCTATGCTGTATCAGATAAGTTGTTCAATCTTTAATAATGCGGTCTCACAACATTTTTCAATTATAAATTATTTTTGTCGCAATTAAACTCAATAAAACGCCCGATCGTTGACTCTTTGGCTTTTCGTTTTGATATATCTCGTATTCGTTATATGCTTGAATTTTACTCTATGCAAAAATATATTTACATATATACATATCTATATGTATGAGTGTATATAGGTTTCTCTACTGTTTGTTTATGCTGTATTCGTGCCTCTTTGTTGTGTTTGATTCGTTTTGCGCTCACTTGTTCGGACGGTCGTGTGCTGGCGGTCGGATATATTACTAAAGACTGAAAAGATCTCCCTCGCGTAAGAACTTATAATTACACTCGTAGCCTAGTTGCCATTCGATCGTGAGAGCCTCGAGAGAGAGAGAGAGAGAGAGAGAGAGAGAGAAAAAGAGAGCAAATTGCTCCCAAGAGACTGGCACGATATGCTATGGTGTTTTTTATGGTTATAATCCTCCTTAACCATACTTAGAAGAGTTTTTTTTTAACGCTTTGCGAAAATTCCCTTGAGCTTTCGTTTCGTTTACTTAATAAAACTTTAGGCTTATCGATCACATCGTATCGATCGTCATTATAAAAACAATTATACATTTGTTGACACAAGAGAGCCCAACAATGTATGGTTGTATGACTAATGCTTAATGTCTTGCAACTTGATGCACGTGACGAGGTAAAATATTAAAAACATGTATATAAATCATTATCTATTGGAAGCTTTGTACAAAATAAGTTTAACATAAAAAGGCTATGTTATTAGCTCCATATAACAATTATTCAGTCCCATCTGGAACCTATTGCAACACCTGAAACTAACGTGCAACGTTTTTCGGCGCCGACTTATTAATGCCATAAAATATGTCACGTTTCGCGTGCATATGAATAAATTCGAATTTCCGATGTGGCTATTAATGCTAATTGCCCCTTACCAATTTTGTGATTTACAATCATATCTAAACTTATTTATTCAACAATATTTTACTTGAGATAATGAATTTTCGTAGCACAAAAAAACGACTATTGCATAAGATGTTACTCTATTCCTTTTTGAAATTTTTATAAAAATTCATATGCTCTTAGTCAATGTCAATGTTCGCAAAAGGCTAGTAACAAGACTAACTAAATCGATACTAAACATAATAAATATATAGCTCCCTTAAAAACTCATAATATGTATTTACATTGCACTCCAAAAATAACTAAGGCAAAACTTAATAAGAAGATTTGGAGAAATTTACATTTGCTAATCAGAACTCAATTATATTTAAAATACCATACATGGCCCAACAAAAATAAACGGCATGTTTAATACGTATTCCAATATTAACAAAAAACTTTATAAACCCAACAAAGTGCTCCCTAGCAATATGCCAAACAGTGGCGGCCTTGGTGAAGTACGTGGGGAGTCAAGTCTCACGCGTTGATGTGTAGTCGCGGGTTCGAAACCGCGCTGATGAATTTTGGTAGATGCTTGGAAAAAGTTAAATTAGTTTATTTTTAATGCTGCAATGCGACTCATCATGGCATAATAGTTCGACTCTTTCATAGACGAATAATTTCCGCATGGATCGCAGAGTAAAATATAGGGGTTAATGTGCGTGTCTACTGACATTTCCAAAGTGAATGACAGTGTTTCGTGCAATTTCCGTACAATTATATTTTGACTTATGCTTTCGATAATAATAAAATACTTTCCTGTCATTATAGCAACCACAAATTTTGTTGGGAAGTTCACGCAGAGCGTGCGTCGAATCGTGCAAGATGTCAAAGATGAGGGTGCACCCAGCGGCATGACCCGTGATGAGGTTATCGAAACCAACGAACGCCTACGCTCACTACGCCTGCGTCTCGAGGAGTCGTACGACACGGTAAAGAAAGCACTGATCAACCTCATGAACAAGTACGGCGATTCAAAGAGTCATCGCAACATATTTCAGCGCTACCCCATGCTCAAGCTAATGATAAAGGTTCGTAATTTATTTTGCTTGCCCCATCAAGTATTAATGTTATATATATATATTTTTTTATTAGGAAGTAATACGCCTGGAGACTCAGTACTGGACATTGGTAGACATTCCGCGACAGGAGAAACAGGAAACGGTACCCTCATACGTAATGCGAGCCTGTTCAATTATGGAAAAGACCCAGAAGTCCGGCGAGGGCGTAAAGACATCGGCTCGGCTGGCCGAGGAGGCCGCCGAGCGCCGGGAGCGGATGGAGCGTTTAGAACGTAAGTCGATTACAGATGCTAGCCAGAAGAATCCTGATTACCTGCATCTTCAACAGACATGACAACGGCGCAAATTGAGCTCGAAAATACACAGCTGATTAATGACTTGTATCGTCTGCTGAAAAAGTATCTGGGCCTGCGGCATTTGATACGCGTGCTAAAGGTAGGAAAGAGTTGACATAAATTTACCAAATTGTGAACTGTTTTCCCGTGTCTCTCTCTTTATATACGTCCGTATCCTTGCAGGAAGAGTACGGCAGCTCAAAGATGTATCCGATATTTCCACGATACACAATGCTCAAGGACATGATAAAGGGCATAATGCACGACCCGGACTACATGGAGGTATGTCACGAAACGCTGGCCAACTCCAACTGAGCCGAGGCATCCGGAAATGGCAGGCGTCGCATGAGTGTCATTTGAGAGGACCACCCATAGGCAAAACACACACAAAAACAAATGCAACAACAGGATGTAAGTTGTGTGTGTGTGTGCCAATTTCACATGCGTCTTTCTGTCATTCCGTAAATGTTTAACAATTTTAAAAAGCCTTTCTTGCTAGTTCCGGAGGAGCGATGTTGACTTTTGAATAGTTAGATACAAATCTATAGATAAAATTTAGCCAAATAGTAGGCAAAACCAACTACAAACTACACTAAAGCCCCACCATAAATGTAACCTACTAACAAATACAACTAACTACAACCACATGCTAAGTATTTACAGACAGTTGAGTACGGATATACTTTGGTAGTTGGGATAAGAAACCACCCAACCAACAAAAGAAACGCATTTATTTTAATGACTTTTTGAGATGAATATAAATAACACAAAATAAACTAAACACACGCGGATAATGTTAAATTCAAATATTGTATGATTTGCATAAACTAATCAAAGATAACTTCATATACATGGTATTAAAAACTATCAACTCACTTATAATGAGTGCATTAAATATTAAACTCATAAATATTCCTTTGCCCCTGACCTTTTTCTATTTTATAAATGATGCGAGAAGTAAACACAACTAAAACAACAATTTTATGCATATGGTATATACATACTTAAAATTTAAAATATTACTTGTATAGTTAGACAATATAAGGGAAATGTTCCCAGAATTAAAATTCTTTACACTTTTGAAGGAAACACCAAATTTATGCGAAAAAAAATCTATTATACATTCAAGTAAAATAACTCAGGATCATTTGTTATGGTTCCTTGGCTCTCCCAACAATATGCAGCAGCCTATTTTACAAATATACAAGCGCTTTAAATGTGTAACTATATATATTTATCTAAAAAAAAGCTTTAAGTCCTTTGCAATATGTTATTAAAAATATCACGAAACAAAAAGAGTTATGTCAAAAATACAAATATTAATAAATTGTTGCCGTTTGTATGTGCATGTTTTAGCTTTAGCCAAACCCATAAAAAAAAGAGGACACAATGCAAATACTTTTATACGAGACCAATCAAACAAACAAACTTTACGAGCTTACAACATTAAATGGCAGAATTAAAAAGAAATATATTTATTTGTAACCATTTTATTTTCACTCTAAAATACTTTTCAAGCCTCAATCAACTCAATAACTTATTGCATAAATTAACACTTGATATCGAACTTTATGAGACTTGGTGAAAGTAAGCTATCTTATCAATTAAATCGATTGTTTCATTTATAGTTTGCAATTATTTTACATATAAGTTAACTAAAACGTTGACACACCCACCGAAGACACGGCAACTGTGCGCCCAAAAACACTGACCAACATAAAAGGCCATTCAATACCTAATTGTACACAATCACTCGAACATAAACAATATCAAAGTCAACTTAAAATATCTACTCATTAAACGCAAGCCACTATAATTAAAAACAAGTACTATATCCATTCGAAGCATATGTCTGAACAAGTCAGGCATACATCTACGATGGATCAAAGAGTTCGCAAAGAGGAGACATTTGATGTACATTAAAGTACACGTTGAATTCTTGAAAGCTATTCAGCAATTCATATTATTATTTTTTTTTATTCCAACAGAAATAAATACAATTCTTTTCTAATTATAAATATTGGCACAACTGTGCATAATATAATTTATGTGTTATTTTGAAAGCTTGTAAATCAGGAAAGTTGAACAAGTCCCCGATGATGCAGTTCACGTAAGACACATTAAAATGGTGTGGCATTAATTCGACAAATGCTTAAAATATGTACTACCATAAATATTGTACAACATAACTACTAAGTATTTCTGTCGCTTTTATATTTTGTTGATACGCCACGTTTGTGTAGTTAATTTCTGGCAACTAAATTAAATATTTTGAAATATATCATTATATGGAAATATATCATATATATAAAGTAACGTACCTAAATTAATCAAAATGTATGAAGAATACTAGCAATATCTTGACGCCCCATTAGTCCTTTGTGTGTGTGTGCGTGTGTGTGTTTGTGTGTGCCTGTTTAGCTGAAATATGTTATAAAATAAATACATAGTAGCTAGTTAATACTTACTTCAATGGATATTTAAAGCTGTATTATACAATCTATACATATTTACATACACATCAAAAGCTTACATACCCACTAAATACTTACAAACAAGGGGTATATACCTACATAATTTATACGAAAACTTCGTACAATTTTACCTTTCAATATCTAAGTGTCTACCAGAAACGGAAAGTGGTTATACAAAGTAAAAAACAAACATAACAAAATAAACAATTAAAGATATTATGTGTGTATGTTATTACATATGGCATTATACTCGAATATGCAAAATTATAAAAACCTATTAAATATATTGGTATTTAAAAGATTATTAAATGTTTTGACTTTTCGACTTGTTTCTGCATTTCCGTTTAAACTGGTTAAATTTGTTTAAATACGTTTTGCCCAATTCATGACTCTTTCCACAAGTTTAATTATGCCATCTATGTGTGAAGATATGCACAGAAATAAAGCTCTCAGATAAAAAGCTCTACATTTGACTCGGGTTCGGCGCAAAAGCACTATTAAGCTCTCCGTAAAAGCTTAATGGAAAGCTTTTTAACAATTTTATTAGCTATGAAAACAAACTTTCATGGTAGTACTAAAATTAAATGTCTAATTTTTTGCAGCATTTCCGCGCTTAACCCTGACTGCCTCCACATCAGCATCAGATGGTTCATCAGGTAAAGTGTCCACAGATAGAGATGATCCCTTTGACTTGGAGCTGCCACTCGAGTGTGAGCTGCCCGAGTTCTTGGGATACTTAACCGCCTTAGTGTTTCCCGAACATTGTATAATAAAGCGCAATTCATCCAGAAGTTCGTCCTTGAAGTTGACCTAGGAATGTACAAAGCTCCTTTAATATTTGGGTCAACCTTGGCAAAGGTAGGCATGCATTGATTATGGTAAGCTGCCATGCAAAGCATATCGCATAACTAGTCAAAGAAATGATTGTTATTTAAAGTTTGAGTTTCTGTTAAAAAAAAAATATGAAAATTAGTTTTAGTTAGGTCGCCAAGTTGATTATTTCGAATGCTACCCCATAAGTTGATGTACAAGCTGTTGAAAAATATTCGTTATTTAAGTCACAATTGACCTTTATGCCCATGCCCATTTTTAGTCACGACACAAAAGCGTTTCTTCCAACGCGTCGGAGGAGCTGGATAGCTGTTAATATATATATATATATATGTATTTTTAGAGCGTCCACCTCTCCTGCTCGTTACCTTATTCTCTCGCGCGGTCCAGTAGATGCTGAGCAAGCAGTTAATCAGGCCATAAATACTGGCAAAGCAGCTGCCCACGAACATGACCAGATACACGCCACCCAAATTCGCAAAGCCCAACGAGGAGGCATCCGAATCCGCAACCTCCTGTACTCAATGTCAACAGCGATGGCGGAAATTGTGATGAACATAACGAGGTGTTGCCATTGTGTGCGTGTGTGCACGTGTATGTGTGTGGGTGCGTGTGTGTATGTGTGTGTGTGTTTGGGATACAGGCCAAGTACATAATAAAGCGAAATGGTCGCAAAAGCGAACGCGTACCAGATAACCGAAAAGCATTGGCAGTACCTTGTTTTCATTGCTGCGCTCCTTGACGCCCAGCAACATTTCCAGGAGGGACACAAATACACCGAAGGCGGCGCCCACACCCAGCACCAAGTAAACGCCGCCCAGATTGCTTATCTCGAGGGCCACTGCGCCAGCCTCTCCGCCTGCATCCTGCGCGCACACACACACACACAGACACATTCATACCCGAGGGCATAGGCAAACTCCTTTCGGATATGCGAACACTTACCGAGCAGGCGCCACCGCCACGCTTCTCCTTCCACCACTTGGTCTTCATTTTGGTTAGCACGCCCTGCTCCTGCAGCTCGAGTATCGCCTGGCTCAAGACGTCGCGGTAAGGCCAATCTGGAAAACGGGCCATGAATACAAAGCAATAGATTGGAGCTGGGAGCTACCTACTCTTTCGCATGGCAATCCCGTAGCCCTTCTCATCTAGGAGTGCCCCCACCTGGGTCAGTGTGCAACGCCGTTCTGTGATGTACTCAATTGTTGTGGACTCCATGAGGAATGCATAATTGCTATTCTCGACGCGATCGACGCCTTCTTGATTCGAATTCGTCATATATTGGGGGTTGTCTTTCATGAACTCGTACATTTTCTGGTACGTGGGAAATTTTGCGTCCTTAACAAATACAAAAACATAAGGTAGCTTGCATGTTGAAAGTATCGACATATGCTTACTTTAAAGAAGGTAAAGGTGCTGCCACCATTTTTCGCACCATAATTGACACCGCCTTTATTCTCCGACAAGTCTTCGGCATCCTCTATTGGCGTCACGAGCGATTCGACAGTGAGAAAGGCGGCAAGGTTCGCCGTATAGGAGGAAACCAAAATCAGCGTAAAGAACCACCAAGAAGATGCCACGGCACGCGTAGAGAACGCTCTGCAAGCACATTTCAAAAGAACAAAGTTTGGAAAAGCCCATTTAAATTAAGGAACTAAGGCACACACTTGGGGGCCAGCTCGGATCCTTGCTGCAGCAGCGCACCAATTGAGAACCATAGGCAATTGGCAAAGCTAAATTGATTCTCCAGCTCGGTGGGCTCTTCTATACAAGGATATGGATTGTCCCATTCGGCTGGCGACATGCGGCCCAGAACAAACATGCTGATGGATACGCCCATGTAAGCGAGACCCAGCCAAAGCCAAACCTCGCCGGAAAAGGGCGACATAAACGAGAACAGCTTGGGGGGCTCCTTCATCGGCTTGCGAAATAAAATTGCTATGCCTGTCGCAATACAAAGACTATAGAAAATGACAAGTCACAAGTCAACACGGACAGCAAATACTTGCCCAGATTCATAAAGGGAATCGTGAAATCCACACCGCTCTCCCGCTCCGATGTCATGGTCAAATCAGTTATGCCCATGTCAGCGCGCTAATTAATTATGTTATCAAAAATGTATTATCCATTACAAATTCTCACAATTTTTCGCTCAGTATATTGAAATGCAAATTGAAATGAATACGCAAATATTACACATTCGCAGCGTGCGCAACTATATTAATTATTAATTGTATTATTTACCTGTGTATTATTTACCTGTCCGTAGTTCGAGATGGATACAAAAAGCATGCAAATTATGATCTGATATACATATTCAAAAAAAAAGATTATTCTTTGACTTAATTAGAAAAATTTTGAACTTATGTGTACTCAATCAGCAACAATTTTAACGTTTTTTCCAATTCAGCCAACTATTTGGTATTGGATTAATAAATTTGGACATGTTCTTGAACTTGCGCACACTCACAAACATACACACACTCACATACATACACGCACACATTGATTTAATTCACAGAGCCCTTCTACTAATTTAACCATCATAATTTATGGCAATAGAAATTGGATTAATAACGAACAATCTATTGATAAGATAAATTGTTGTTTGAAGGCAGGGGGACAATTATGTTAATAACGTTGTTTGTGATTCCCGATATTTAGGCTCAAGGGAAAGGTTAGCTCATTGATATAGATGACCGCAGGGCGATTTCAATTGGATTTATGGGCATTCCCCAGACAGGAACTTACGTTGTCTATTATTTCGCGTAGCATGCCATTCCATTCGCCAGTTTTGGGATCTATGCCACCATATTTATTGTCCGGCTGCAAATAAAAGGTGTAGCTGAAGCCAAGCTTCTTCGAGAGCTCATCAATCAATTCAATGCCAAATCCTTCGAACTGAGCGTTGCCCTCCAGCTTCTCGGCGGTTTCCTTAAGCATGCCATAGGGTTCACTCTGCAGAGCAAGAAATTATTATTGCCATATTCTAATATTGCAAAAAAGTAATACCCACAATGGCCGTGACTACCACAAAGCTCTTATTCATCAGCGACCGCATATCTGGCTCGAGGGTATGTGCTGGTGCGGGACGATTCATTTCAAAGCCGGCCTCAGTGCTCCACTGCCCAATTTGCTGCATGCCCGAGACGCCCAGCTCGATGACCTCCAACTGGAAATCCGTGCGCAGTCCCTCGTAGTCAAAGTGAATGGGGCCCGTGAGGCCGTTGAGCGACAACTGCGGCGGCACATATACATATGTTTATGTTTTATGAAGCATTCTCTGCCATGTTTCCCGCCATGTTTCACTCACCGACTTCATATAGTTGACGAGCGTGTAGCCCTTGTCCCAGGCACTGTCGTCCCCACAGCTCAGGGGCATGGGTCGGTAGTTAACATGTTTGTATGTCTCGGCCAGCAACTGAATGCCGTCGTAGATGAGGGCCATGCTGTTGGTCAGAGGACACGATACTGCAAGAGGAAAATGGCCATAAAGGATAACGTTCATAAATGGTTCAATGGTCATTTGCATTTATCATTTTTACAGGAAATTCAATTATTTATATGCGCTCATATGAATGGATTCTGGATTCTGGCCATGGACTGTCAGCTACACTCTGCAGGAAATAAAATTATTATCCAAATAGAGATTACGCAGATTTACCATTTTGAAATGGCTCTTCACTCTCGTACAATGCCTTAGCCACCTCCAGCACCTGCCCGTTCTCTGGTGAAACGAAGCGCAACCCGGTAATGTTGGAGTCGGCATGCTGATAGGGCTCCAGGTCCATGGTGTGCCAATCAAGATTCCCAATGATATAGCGATAGTCGCTGGTCAGCAGGCCTGTCTGCTGCGCCTGCTTGAAGAGCTCGGGCAGCGTTTCCATCGATCCAACCACCACAAATGAATCGTCCTCGGAGTTGCGTATGCGCCGCAGCACATTGCGATAGTTGCCATTGAGATCTAGATCATAGCGACGAAGTGTTATGGTCGGACCAGCTGTGCCATACATCTGCAACAGCTCATTGACTGTGACCAGATACTCTCCCGACTCGTAGATGATGGTGAAGCTCTCCCATCCTAGGGCAGTAACCAAATCTTTGAGCGCAGCCCCCAATTGCGCTGGATGCGGATGCAGGTTGATGGTGGGCAACTGGGCACCAAAGTCCCAGCGTGTGTCCAGAAAAGGTAGCTCCTTGGCATCGCAAATGCTCAGTGCGTGACGAGCTGCTCGATTTGTCGTGGGTCCAAAGACTGCCACCAAATTTTGCTAAAAAACGTGTAAATCATAACTTTGTATTGCAATATAACATAGATTCTTGCCTACCCTTAGAATTTTGCATAATTTCTTGGAGGTCTCAAAAGCATTGCTCGGCTCAATGGCCACGGCCACGCCATGGAGCTTAAGTTCTTCATTCTCCTCATTCGCCTTGCCAATGGCCAAGTGGAAAATTTTCTCAAGATCGGGGTTAGTGTTTTCATAAATAAGACCTATTGTAAACAAAAACGAAAGAAGAGAGAAAAGCGAGAATCTATTCATAGTATTTGAACTTTGTTTTTATTTTGCTTTGCAAATTCTGTTTACGAATTCTACAGGGCCAAAACAAATGCGCCCAATTCGCCGCATGTGCCATATGTTTCTTTCGTTGCTGCATAAAAATACACACACACTTGGACCAATACACACACACACTCACGGAAAATGCCAGCCATATTTGCACGCTGCTGTATACATTTTCGATTACATAACCATTTTTAGCGAAAAACAATAAATTCCGCTAGTTTTTTAGCGCCCAACTCACCCACATTGGTCCGCTCGGCTCGACAGATGTCCAACAGACTTGTGAAGGCGCACAGAGAAATCAGCCAAATGGCCCAGTGGACCGCCGCGGGGCGGGGCTGGCCCCCAGTGAATAGATGTGTCATCCGATCTGATCGCTGATTGCAGTTGCTGAAAATGCAATTATTAATCAATTCATTAATTGTTCCTTAATAGACTCGTTAAATTTTGCTATTGTACGTACAGTTTTTCTTACGAGTAATTTTTATTGCATGGCTAATTTTAGTTTTAATAGTTTTGCATTTGCTTTTCGACTGTCTGCAGCGACTGTGAATACGCGCGGCGAATATCGCAAAATTGAGGCAAATTACACTTGCAGCAGCAAACGAATTCGCCGCAGAGTCTTGTTAAAGATAGTTGATATTCTTTCTGCATTGTCAAGGATTAAAATGAGAGCAAGCTTAATTAAGTTCTCTTAATTCATCAAATAGAACTCGTTTATAGTTTTGCATTTGCACTTTTCTACTGTCTGCAGCGACTGTGAATATGCGCGGCGAATGTCGCAACGTGATGTAGGTACATACATACATACATAAATGCGGCAAATTACTTTTGCAGCAGCATATGAATTCGCAGCAGTTGGTATTCTTTCTGCTTTGCAAGAGATTAACATGAAAACAAGCTTGGCCAAGTTTTCTCAATTCATCAAATAGAACTCGCTGCAATTCTGATATTTCAACTTAACTAAATATTTAAAAGAGCAAATTCTTTAGTAAATTTAAACAAACTTTGAGCCAATAAGTTGATACAAGTTACTGAATAAAGCAAAAGTTAATAACCAGCTTTAACTCAAACTAATCGGCAACATTTACATTATAAAGTTTTCCAAACAATTTATACGCAAACAGTGCTGCCAAATATTTTTGCAACTACGTACATATACATCTATTTTTTTGTAGCCTGGGGCACACTAGTTGGCATTAACTTTGTCGGCTTTGAATAATCCACTTAAATTGTATAAAGCAAGAGAGTCTCTTATTTTTTATAACGAATGCGTCTATTTATAGCTGCTTGAAGCACAAGGCATGCTATATAACGTGCATACGTATATATATATGAGTACTTTCGGGAATGTCCTTCGTGCACAATGCCTCTGCAACTTGCAACATCATTTACGAGAAGGGAGAAGGGGGGTCAAACTGTTGCTGCAGGCAGTAAATAAAATCAGCTTCTACGATAACGCATGCAGACAAACTGTCTGTCCCGCTCCATTTTTTGCGCTCTCTGTCTCTCTCTCTCTCTCTCTCTCTCTCTCTCTCTCCCTCTCTCTCTCTTTCTATTTTCATATAAATACTGAAATATCCGGCCGCGTCTCCGTGTCCGTCTCTGTCTCACCATGTTTTTGTTTGTTGCTGTTCGCTGCATATTTATGCATTTTTTATTTACATGCCCAGGCACTGCCATTAAATCTATTGCCATGTACGTCCTTCCCCGCGGCGCCTCAACGCCGAGGATTGCATGGTGTTAAATTGCCCAGCAGCCTGGCGCACATTTGCATTCCTCGCGTGCGCAGCGGCGCGTGCAGGCTTTCAGAATACGAGTATCTTGAGGATGCACAGACAAGAAGCCCCACACAAGCATGCCTCATCTCGTTGTCACACATTAGAAAAGTTCTTGGCGTGTATCCTTAAGTCGCCTGTGCTCTAACTTCTGGCATTTATCCATGCCACACAATGGACAGTCATCAGTAGCTACATCGAACACGGTGTAAATCAATAGTCGATGTGTTTGCGACTCGGCTAATCGGTGGCTCCTGCTCTTCCATCAATTGTTTCCCACCACAATTGCAATTCCCCTCACATTAGTTGTGTCAATATTTAAGGGCTGTCAGTTTCGTGTATATAAGATTGGAAACTTGTATGTATGTATGTATGTGCGAGTGTATGTGATTTTGTGTATTTGTTTGCCTTGAAATTCCGTTATTTGGCATTGGGCAATCTCGTTGCACAAAAACAAATTCACAATTTGCACCAAAGTTTTGATTGACAGTGTAAACCTTGAGATACGAAATGCTATTTTGGACATCGATTTATTGCCAATCAGGTATGAAATATGCATTCAATATTTGTGCAACGGTGCGAATGAGTAACAGAATAGAGAAATGTTCACACTCTGACTGCATTTAGAATGAAACAGCAGTAATGTGGATACTGTTATGTCTTTGCCAAACGACCTATTATCATTGTAATTGACAGGATGGCAGTTTGTAACTTGTACATAGTCTGTTTAAATTATTATAAAATATTGTTTGAAAAGAATTTAAATCTACGAGCGCTTGTTTTTGCGAGTTTCTTCAAGTAATTGTGATTAGCCTGCCTTACACCTTGTACTCAAGAGATTGCTCAAAGGTAAACAAACAAATCAGAAGCAGCACGTGAGCTGCTTTTTGCTACTCTGAAGCGACAATTTGGCGTGTTGTCAAAACAAAATGCGATATGCTCACAGACAAATACACACGTACACACGTACACACACACGCACACACACTCATACGTATGTAAACAAAATCAATTTCCAGGCAGCCAAATAGCATCAAGGCGAGACGATTGCGCAACACTGGCGCAGGGAAGGGAGGGAGGGAGGGTGAGCCGCAGACCGCAGGTATAAGAGCATAAGAGCAGTGCACTCACACTGGCCACAAAAGTACTTATGTTCTCTTCTGGCCTCTGCTCCTAGCCCCTCATGCTCTCTCTCTCTCTCTCTCTCTCGCTCTTGCTTTCGTGTATTCTCTCTCCCTCCCGTACTTACACAGAGCACGTGCCGCGTAATGGCGCGTAAATTGTTGCTGCCATCTTAATGTGTGTTCCTAAAAACCGCAAATTCTACGGCGCAATGACTCAAGAGGAAGAGAAGCTGACCGAGCCTAACGGACGACCGATAAGCGACTACGAGCTAGGGAAAACACGTTGAAGGACATCAACCAGCACTCAAAAAAAGCAGGTGGTAGGAAACGGAAATGAACTGAATCAGCAAGGACAAAAGCAAGAGGAACAAAAAGGAGTTTGGGTTTGCTGAAAAACATACTCAAACAGTTGGCGCAGCTGGGACACTATTCAGTGGCCAAAATGTTGTCTCAAGTGAAAGTTTTCACTTCAATTAAGCATGGGTGTGTGCGTGTGGGTGTGTGTGTGCATGTGAGTCAAGTTTAAAGCACAAGCGAAGTTTTTGCGTCAACGCATTGTTATTTTTGGGGGATTTTGCTCTGGCTGCTTTTTATGCTGGCCATCTGGGGCTAATATTGAGAACCGATGCCCAATGAGCTGGTCGAGTCGCCAAGGTAATGTTCAGTGTCTGTCAACAGGCATATGAATTGTTAACATGCCGCAGGTAAGCGTGAACAGGCAGGCAGACAAATCTGCCAACATGCTGTCCGTTTGGCAAGCAGCCAACGGGGCCAGTTCCAGCCTCAAGCCCAAAGTGGGGTAAGTGGGGGGAGCCCAACCAGTTGCGTTTAGTCGTGCGAGGCACGTTTGCTGTGGCCTGATGGCCAAATGGGCAAATAGGTAAATGGGTAAATGTCAGTGCCAAGGTGTCAAATTGTCAACGCCTGTTGCCCCAAAAATGGACAGCCGAGGTTTAAAGGCGTGTGTGCATGCCTATTAGGAAATGGACCGAACGAGTATTCTCTAGTTGCCTGCCATCTGCATAGTTCGATGTGTGTGCGTTTGCGTGTTGGTTGCATGCAACACTTGATGCCAATTACTAACAGAACAACACCTGCTCGGTCCGTCGAGCACTCATCAATCGCACATATGCATATCGTTCTCTCAAGGCTAGATGCCCAAAATATAGATGAACATTGGAGAATTTAACCACTTGTTAAACAAAATATTATTCAATAACAAACCAAATGCAACGTGTGCGCGACCCAATCGCCTCTCTCTCTCAATCTCTCCATCTCTCCGCCTCCGAAGCTGCGCTGTCTCTCTCGAAAGTTTCTACAATGCATACACACATATTTTTACACCACACCAACGAGAAGCAGTTCCCCACTGGCAGACAGGAGACCAGTTCGACACGAGAACTCAGCGAGTGCGGACGCGCGAAACGGACGAAACGGTCGATTGGAATCGAAGCTAGATAACGGCGCGTGCCAAAGCCATAAACCATACAACAACAACAAGCCAATCTGTGCGAACAGAAAATCCTGTTAGTGTAGACATCGCAAGAGGTCTTTTAACTGCGAATCACGCATTTCCCATATGTGTTAGAGAAGTGAGAAACTGAACTAACGGTAAATACAGGAACTATTAAGGTTTAAGCTAGAGCAGTCGATATGCCTGAAATTGTGGAGTTGAACGTTGGCGGTGTCCACTACACGACGACGCTGAAGACCCTGCTGCAGGAGAAGGCGACGCTGCTGTACGAGCTGTTTGCAGGACCGGAGGGTCGCGAGTCGCTGGCCAAGGACAGCAAGGGCCGTTATTTCCTGGACCGTGATGGTGTCCTTTTCCGCTATATATTGGACTTTCTGCGCGACAAGGCGCTCAATTTGCCCGAGGGCTTCCGTGAACGCCAGCGCCTGCAGCGCGAGGCTGAGCACTTCAAGTTGGCCGCCATGCTGGAGTGCATACGTGGCGACCGGGATGCCCGGCCACCTGGCTGTATCACGATTGGATACCGCGGCAGTTTCCAGTTCGGTAAGGATGGCCTGGCCGATGTCAAGTTCCGCAAGCTGTCACGCATCCTGGTTTGTGGCCGTGTCGCACAGTGTCGCGAGGTATTCGGCGACACGCTGAATGAATCACGAGATCCGGATCACGGTGGTCCAGATCGCTACACGTCGCGCTTCTTCCTCAAGCACTGCTTCATCGAGCAGGCTTTCGACAATCTACACGATCACGGATATCGCATGGCCGGCAGCTGTGGCTCCGGCACCGCAGGCTCGGCGGCAGAGCCCAAGCCAGGCGTGGACACGGAGGAGAATCGCTGGAATCATTACAATGAATTTGTTTTCATTCGGGACTAAGCAGCTGCGGCAGTGCATTTCTGCTCTCTTCCGAACTTCTTAAGTTTGTGATACGATTAACTATAATTTAAACACGCCTCTTCCCTGGTCTATATACCCGAAAATAGGTCAAATCTTTGTATTGTCGAGAGTTTTCTTAATTTTTTATCAAAAATATTTATTTTGAATGGGAACAAGGCAGGCAAATATTTGAAAAAGGGAGAGAAGAAATCAAGCATTTGTGACCATATTAACTTATTGGCCTAATCTGAATAGAATTATCATCAAATTGAAATTCGTTTAGAGTATAGAGGAACTAAGAAGAATCTATCCTAATCTTAAATGATTTGAGCCCACCTTTATATTCCGATGGGAACATTTTAAGCGTACAATTTATGTAACAATCCCCATAGGCAAATACCCAAGCGGTTTACCTGAAAGTAAACAGTTTATTTACCAATTGCAAGTACCGATTAATCAGAGCCAAAGACAAGCATTATATTGAATATTAATAGTTTTGAATCCTAGTGAATTTTACGAATGAATAATTATATAAAGCAGCGGCTGATGAATAACTTACGGTTTGCCTTTGGCTAAACAAGTATTTGATGCTATTCCGAGTGCATAAAGAGAATAAGTTATGATTTTTGAATTGTTAAATCAAGTACAGGAAATTAGAAATTATAAATTGGGAAGCGCGAAATGCGAATGTTAATGAAATAAACCAGAGCAAAACGTAAACAAACGTGATTTGAAGAAATCTAGAAATAAATTTACAAACATGTTTTTACTTATATTAGTAGGGTCTCAGCTCTAGACAAACTGTAAGAATTTATCTCGGCTATCTTACCAAAAACAACTACAAGCAACTATTTAAATACGGGTCACTTCTTGAGTAAATAACAAATAAAAGAAAGTCAGTAAATATGCAATCTTAGCCACAAGCCCGCAAGTCATTGAGTAATAAATATATTTACTATTCAATATATTTATTATTTATATACCTATTATAATAAACATATTTGTTATTTATTTATTTACCAAAATAAATATATTTATTATTAAATATATTTATTATAATAAATAAATTGATTATTTATTACTCAACGCCCGAAGGTGATTAGGAGAAACCTATGGTAAATTGTTCAAGGATAAATTATTAGAAAATTGTCAAATAGCATTTGAATTTCAATATTATTCAAAGTACATAAAAATATACAAGGAAACACTTACAACGCTTTATAAACTGACAATTGAAGGATAAACTCACAAATGCAGCCAATAATAATGTCAAATATACAATGTGAATGTATATACATAATACTTGCCCCCACACATATTTATAACCAATATGAATTCCATATTTCTTGCCAAAACTGAAAGAAAAGGAGGATAAGGAGGATAAAAAATTGTCAGCCAAATGCCATTAAGCATAAATATCTTGAAAAGTTTGAGTGATTACTTAAAAGTGAGAATGAAGTTATATAAAGGATTTGCTTGCACCACTCGAAATATCATAATTTAAATATTGTTATTAATTGAACTTTATCAAATGTGAATTGGTGGAATTTAACTTATCAAACTTAGGAAATCAAATCATTATTTTTTACAGCTATTTTCGGTGTTACCCAAGTATTCTTTAGCCCATGTCTTCGAAATATTTATATGGCAAAATATGGCAAATATTTATGTATGCGAATTGAATATATATGTTATATATTGCCTAAAATTTACCCAAAACTTCCATTAAAGTTACACGAAGATACTACAAATTTGCTGAACTCCGTAAGCTCATAAGTAAAGTGTCGAAACTAGAAGAGTGTAAGTTTATGTTTCGACCGTCCTTAAATAATCCCTAGAACAATCAATATAAAAATTAAAACTATTTAACCCTCTGCTGAAAATGATATCTCAACGGCAAACGCGGAATTGTGATGCGTTGAAATTTCTGTTTATGGTTTTTTATTAGCACAAATAAATGTTTACATATGTGTGTATAAACATTTGCATGTCATACTACATATATGAAATTGGGCTAAAATGCACACGAAATGATAATTGTATAAAATGAAATAGTTCACATAAAATCGTATTAAAGTCAGATATGTGTATGTATTATGTACATTATAGCAAAATGTTTGGGATTATACTTAAATCAACTTTTAAGCCCCACTATAGTTATGTTGAGGAAACCTAGCGCGTATTCGTATACATATATTTAAATCAATTGTCGATATTGAATTACCTATATATGTTTAGTATTAAGTTCAGTGAACATATTACAAGAACAAAACAAAGAAACAACACGTAAATAAATTATATATGTATTAATGAGCTGTAAAACGAAATTAACTTTGATCTAACAAAAGTAAACGTATTATGTTCACAAATAGGCGCAAACAGTCTATCAAAGTGCGACAAGCTAAATCTATGTAAAAAAAATATACTACAAATAAAATAACTATAAAATTAAACATTTTCTTATAAGATGTGCAAATGCAGAACATTTTCCGGAAAAATAGAATTTGTGACCTTTGAGCAAACAAAAAAAAAACTTGAAACTGGGTGAGGGAAAGGCAACGACTCGCCTTGCCCATCGATTCAAATGTCAGCTTAATTGGGACTCTCTTCATACTCCATGATAAGCCATAATATAATATTTATGACATTTCATTTATTCATTTAATTGTTACAGCAATATTCACAAAATTCGTCTACGTTGATTATGGCAATAAAATTCATGAATTGTTCATGAACACTATTTTGATGGAATATCTCAGTTAAAGAGAGGCGAATAATATCATTAATGCATTAGCAATACCAAAAAAAAAAAACGAAAGATAATTATATAAAATACAACTTAATTCAAAATATGCATACAGCAAGTGCCTGCCACGTCGAAGGCAGGCAAATGCCTAGAAAATAATATGTTTAAATAACTGAAAAGGCAGCGAGATCATAAAAGCGAACACAATCTGGCATTTGTTTAAATTCAAGGCAGACAACAATCATTTATTTACACACGGCAAGGAACAAAGGACTCACTGCGGGTCCTGGCCTGTGCACGTGCCGCTTCTGGCCCAGACTAGCTCAGTCGAGCACAAAAAATGTTGAAATTAAACGAGAAAAGGCAAATGCTTGCCTCTGAATGTGCGAGTGCGTGTTGAAGTATGCTTCAGAGCCAAAGCCAAAGCAAATGGGCCAAGCGCAAAGGTATGGGAAAGTGCAATGCCGCCCCTTTTAACATGTGGAAGCAAGGTAGACAGGCATCGAGGTGAGCGTGCCACCTGCATACTAAGCATCTACCTGAGGCGTCTCACGTACTTTTTTTCGGGTTCTGTTTATTGAGTACATACCCAGGACTAAAACAATATGCAAATTGTGCAGATGGCGGCATAACAATATACGGAAAAAAGTAAGGAAAACGCCTGAGATACGTATATAAATTACTGTCAGCTATGCCACGCCTATAAATTCTGACTGACAAGGCCAGCCAGTATCTATATGCCTGTCTGGGAGTATGAAAATGAAATGATGGCTTTTTGTCTTTAACGCTAAATTACCTTAATTTGATTTCGCCAGGTCTCAGTCGACGACATAGTCTTTCGTAGTTACATATTGTCTCTGCCTCTGCCTGTGACTTTGTCTGTCATTATTATCATCATTATTATCATCATCAACAAAGGAGCTTCACATTGCGTCAGTCGCACTGTCACCTTCAATTAGTTTCAGCCACAAGGCCCCCGACTTGGCTAATGCCTAGCACAAGGCTCCATCAGCTGCCTTATTAATTCATAAATACGAATTTTGCCTAGGTCGTGGCAAGACGCTTTAAATTTATGTCATTCCATTTAACGCCACAGGCAAAAGTGGACGCATTTTGCACACTTCTCAGCCGCCATTTTGTTAGCCCTTTTCAGAATATAAAGCATACTTTACAGTGCCGCAAATCCGCATTAATTAACGCAGAAAGCAGCTTGCGCTCGAAGTCAAGTCAGGTAACTTTTAACTTTTATATTATGTGTTATATGAGCAAATATGCTGGCCGTGTGCAGGAAAGTACACTCTACTGATGTGATGAGCTTAATTTGGGTACTCACATCGCCCCGCATTAATTGACATTAAAAACTTTTTAATTGAAAAGTCAAGCTTGACTTATGCTCTTTAGAAGGGCTAAACGGAGTAAAAATAACAGTTCAAGTGTTACTTAAAACTGAGTAAAAAGCAACCTGAATTGACATTTGTTCTTCTGCTCTTCTTCTTTATATATATAGTATCTATATGTATAAATGTTTTTTGCCCTATATCCGTTTCTGTTTGTGCCAGTAAGAAACACTTGACTTTTGGCGGTAAGTCAAATGAAATAAATATTGTTATAATCTTAACCCTATTATTTTTTCCTTATAAGCATCTCAACTACCTCAGCTGGATAGTCAAAGGTGGCATTAATATTAAAGATAAAGCAGTTTCACTGATGTATTCGCATGCTTGAATATATTTTTACTTCCAGTTTAAGCGACGTCAAAAACATTTTCCTTAATTTCGCCCCTTACATTCGCAAATGAATGTCAATGCCTGTGCTAAGCACGCACTCACATACACACACACACACACACACACACACACACACACACACACACACACAAACGCGCTAGATTGGGTCAGACATAGAATGTATTCGTTTAACGAGGCGAGCGCCCGCATCATTTGCCATATACAGTCCAAAACGAATGCGTACAACTCTTATTTGCCGTTAGTTTTAAAGGCCCAAACGTGCTTTATGTATATGTATGCGTTTGTGTTGGTCATAAAATAACAGCAGTAGAAAATAATTGCGCGTTAGAGCTATTTATGCGTCCGACACAAGTGAATTTGAATGAGTCCGACATATGTGTGTTCTTATATACATTTTTCCCCTCTGAATCTATTAGCACAATCAGGTAATTATGAAGAACTACCTATTTACTTTATTTTTCCATTATTATGAAATTTGTAGTAACAAAAAAAAACTAAAAATAAAACTCTCTCAATCGATGCCTCCTGTGAGGGTTGAACTCACGGCCTTTGGTTTACGAGACCAACGCTCTACCACTGAGCTAAAGAGGCGCCGATGGGAGCGCGGCCAAATCAGCAATACAAAATGCGACTTAAAGAAGCTAGGTAATATGTGAATAACACTGTCTTTTAAGTAGCTTTATTTGAAGATCATGTCTCGTTTGCTTGTTATGAAATGACATGCGCAGAAAAATCTAGAGAAATGTGTTTGGAGAATTGAAATTGAAAAGAATGGTAAGCCAACCATTATATATGTATGTGTAATGAAAATGAAATCGGAGGAAGAAATAAACTTGTAATAAGTAACTATTTAAAAATTAAATATTCTGGAAAAGAAAAAGATCCAATGCTCATCAATAACATTTAATGGCAAATATGTTAGTTATAAAAAAAAATAAAATCGAACATTCTACTGCCTCCTGTGAGGGTTGAACTCACGGCCTTTGGTTTACGAGACCAACGCTCTACCACTGAGCTAAAGAGGCGATGAGAGTGCCGTTGCCCAATGTTGCATATAAAACAACTCACTGAGCGGCAACCGTTTTTAACACAGAGCGAGCGAATACGATTTGATTTAAGAGATGGGCGTGCGCATTGCTGCAAATTTTACTGACCGCTAAACTAAACAAGTGAAGAGATATGAGAACATTTATACATAAATAAAAATGTGTTTGATATATAACACAGTATATACACATTTAAAATAATTGCGTATGCAAACAAAATAAAATGCTTAAGTTATGTTTTTTTCTTATCAGCTACTGTTAAAGTGAAAGCGAACGCGGCGTGCAGAATTTTACTAGTTATGATAAGGTTATCTTGAACAATCAATGAAAAACATTTCGTAATTAGTTAATTAGCTTTCGCCAAAGATCACAAAAAATAGCAAGCAATATTTTGACTAAATGATTTTTTTTTAAATACCCTTTTCTCCGCGGCAATCTAAGATATTACC